AAACATCATATACTTCCTTGAAATACGCTATGCGGCAACGCCTTGATTGAAGCTTTCTTCCTGCACTTCCTTTATTGCCTAACCAACAGTGGGCGCTTTGACACCGCGTTTTCCCACCGATTCACCGAGTGAAATAACTGCCTTATGATAAAATTATATTAATGTGCCCCACATTGCTCAATGCGATCTCATGAAGCAAGGGCGTTCATCGTCTCCCGTTTAGGGCCCATTGTTCACACGCCAACATCCGGGAAGTGATCAAAAAGCGACGAGTATGCGCACTCCCATTCCAGAGAGGAGATTTCGTGCTAGTTCGTGCAAGTTCATGCAAGCCCGAAAGGGTCTGCATGGGAGCGTTTCGGACTTGGCACTTCATGGAAGAAAGGCTTAAAATGTGCATGCGCATTCCTTTCAGCCCCTCTTCAGCCGCTTTTTATTTTTCGAACTATATTTTCTCATAGGATTCTCAGATTTCAAGTGTCCCTTCATTGAAAAATTGAAAATCATGTCACCAATGCCTCTTGACGAGACCTTTCCAGACAAGGGAGACGGGCGATCATCGCTCCCCACTCAACCACACCGCTCGCACGCCAGCTCACAAGGCCAGCAGAAGCAAAGGAGCATGCGCAAAGAGAGCAGCTCGTCACCTCGTTATAGGGATGGGGATTCCGTGCACGTTCGAAAGGTTTCCGATTGTATCTGGTGTTTTTCTGCAGTTTGTTCATGCGCGGAGTGGACATTAAGGGCATAGACTAACGCCTATTGCTCTCGTAAAATTTGCCGCGATGATTCCAAAACCTCCATGAGAATTTCAACGAATTCACGGGCAAGAAAAACAAAACAATATTGTTATCCCTTATTTATTTTAAAGTCAGCTAAATAATTTAAACATGGCCTGGCTTCAAAGAGAGTCAATCCAGTTTCCCAGCAAACAATTCGAAACACATAACGTTGATTGAACGTTGAATCAACATCGAACGAACGTTCGGAACGTTGATACAACGTCGGTCCAACGTAGCCTTGTTTGCTGGGTTATTATTATTAACAGGCGTTAATGCTCGCCAGATGAAACACCTTGAAGGCATGTGATGTGCACATGCGCAGTTCGTGAAGCTCCTTGAAGGAAGGTATGTGATGTGAGCATGCGCAGTTCGTGAAACTCTTTGAATGTATCTCATGAGCGCTTGCGCAGTTCGTTCTGTCCAATTTAGCAGAGCTTTATTTTAGCGACAGTGTTTTCCATGGACTTCATCCTTTGCTTGCGCAGTTCGTTCTGTCCAATTTAGCAGAGCTTTATTTTAGCGACAGTGTTTTCCATTGACTTCATCCTTTCCCATGAATGTTAAATGCTTCTTTGATGAGAAGTCGATATTCCTGCCCCGCACGGTACTTGATGTGATCTTGTGGACAAAGGGGTGCGACCTTTATTGCCTACTTATTCCACTAAACCTATCCCACGCCAAGATGGGTGACTGTGAAAGCATGAGGGGCATGCGCACTGAAAGCATCTCGGCTCTCGGTCAAGTATGGGGGTTCCGTGCAAGCTCGAAGGCCACCATGCAAGAACGAAGGCTCCCATGCAAGTCCGAAAGACTATGGGTCGTCCATCTGCGAAGAGGCTTTCTTCTTGTAATAATTGTTGATTCCCCTGTACACTGGTGCGGCCTTAACCGCCAGGGTTCTTTAACGTTTCACATCTAAAGATGGGAGTGTCGAACGACAGGGGTCATGATGGGAGTCATGACAGTCCTGACTCAGTTAGGTTTGAGCCCGGGTCTCCTGTCCCGAGAGCCAAGCTCGTTACCAACCAAGCCACTTACCTCTCCCCAAAATTTTTGAAACTCTGGCATGGGTCGATTCGGGCACGTAAGTTACGATTCGATAGGGTATCACGCGCGAGAAGCACTCGGCCTTGAACTCAAGTCCCAACAACAAGAGATGGGTTCAACTCTCAATTAATGCCATACTTTCTAACCCAATGCCAGGGAGAATTATATTCAGCGTTTTTCTGTCCTCTATATCCAGCATCGAGAGGACGGAATGGGAAAAAGAAACAAAAACAAGGAACAAATATCCACGAGGTGCTCGCATATGCATGTTTCAGACTCAGCTCTCGATGGGTTGCTGATCTATATACGGGCGAACGTGCATGGGCATGTCATTCTTGAGACTTGCTCCCAGATGATTAATCCTCCGGAATTTCAATGCATCAACATATTTTACCACGATAGAAAAAAAGGTTAAAGAATCCGAAAGGATGGGAAGGCAATACCGTTCAATACGGACACTATTGGCCATCCCCATACTCCGTCGAAATTGCGATTGATAATCTGCTCTTTATTTTCTGCCGAGAGTTGCTTCATGCAAATCGCGAAGGATGGAAAAAAAAAAAGCACTTTCACCGTTACCCTTCTGGCAATATGATGATTTAATGTTTTATTTGAATATCCATCTGGAATTTGACTTGGGAATGCCCACATTTGACTTGGGAAAGGTTTAAGTCCAAAGCAGTCGTTTCTAGTTGGATTTTCCCTCCCATTTTTGGCGCTGATTCATTCTTAGAACCAATCTTGACGCATCGGCGGTTGGCGATAACCAGTGGCGTGCCCAAGGGGGGGGTTTGGGGGTCATAACCGGGGGGGGGGGGTTATGACCCCACACCCTTTGGGTCAATTTTACAGGTTTGATTCTTACAAATTGTTTAATTTTACCGCAAAAACAGCAAATATCAGTTTTTTCATATGTTAACCCCCCCCCCCCCATTCGGATTTCCTGGGCACGCTACTGGCGATAACATTAATAATTCACACGTCTGCAAATGCATTTGGAGACGTGAGGAGCAGGAATGAAACTCTGGCACGGGAATGAGATCCGACTGTCGCATTTCACTTCTTGTAAGTCAAATATGCTTTTCTTCTGCATCCAGAACAGAGACACATTTGAATTTTCTTGTCGCATTTCACTTCATTTCCAAGTTTGACTAGGAAAATCGATACAGTGAGGGGGTATTTATGAACTTTCCCTCTCCATATTGGGCGGAGAGCATCCGGAAATTTCCAACGATGTCCCATGGGCATTCTGAGACGATTCGCTCATGCCTATGCGTGACCTCGGGAGTTCATCTTTTTTCGGACGAAAATGTCCATCGACGAGAGCCGCGTGTGCTCGGAGGGCATCTTCAGATCGGCTTCATCCTTCGCTCCGTTCCCTTTTTCGGCGAGGGGGAAGGACTCCGACCGAGGGCTGTCGGGTCTCGCTGGGGATGGCTTCTTGGAAATTGGCGCGTGTGCTCTTGGGATGGGAGAAGTGCAGGGAATGGACGATAGAGTCCTTCGTGGAGGTCATCCATCCCGTTCGCTCTCCAGAGAGCAGATTCCTCAGCTTTTATCGCGTCCATTTCCGACAAAATGTCGGCGGATTCGAATGAAGTCGCGAGAGGGCACCAGGGAAGGCGAACGGGAGGGAGTGTGAAAAAAAAAGTCAGCAGTACTCGGTGTTTCCAGGCGGTCTCCCATCCAAGTATTAACCGAGACCGACGCTGCTTAACTTCGTTGATCGGACGAGAACCGGGGTGTTCAGCGTTGTATGGCCGTTGGCAGTCGAAATTCGATTAATTTCGACTCATTTTTAAAATCGGTATCTCAAATTTAATCGATTGTTCTGTTGATTAATCTAATCAATTGACAGCCCTTGAATAATGTGATCTCTTACTTTTTACAAAAATGTTATTTTCTTTTCTGATTTGATGTACACAACGGTTAGAAGAACATCCACTCATAGACGTAGTTCACGTGATACTGGTCACGAACCAAAGCAAACGTAGAAAAATTAGAAAGTTTACATGAAATTTTATGAAAAATAAATTTGCTTACCTTTCGCGAAGAAAAATTCAAAACGTATGTAACTTCTGACTTCAACCAACTATTTATACTTGTCAGTCTTCTGGAGCATAAAATCTTCTTCAACTCATGTTTGATCATATACATTACTTTTACAAAACATTATACTATGGAGAACAATGTATTTGAACATGAAATCTCATCTATGACAGTATTGATGGAAGTATTACAGTCGATTCATAGCAGATTCATATTCACAAACGAAAATTTCTCAACCACGGCAACATTTTTGTTCATAGTAAAGGTAATAATGTGCATCTTCCTCGATTACATGGAACACTTTTTTTTTATGATGACTTCAGCTACAACTAAAAGGGATTTATGTTCAAATTTTTTCTTTTCTTGTAGAAAATACGTCATGGAGGTGGAAGGGGCGAAAATTAGTTTTCATATTGGATAATCAGTATTAGCGGCGCACTTCTATTCTGGAAGGAAAAATTAACGTAGAACTTGTATAGTTTCGTTTTAAGTAATTTCGATGAATTCGTAAATTTTAAATTGTACTTTGGTAATAGTTCCCCCCCCCCCCCCCCTGCGAGGGCACAGTTTGCCCACCCCTTGTTACGGCACTGGTCGACAGACATGACAAGCCGACGAATGTTGTAGGGTTTGAGGATTTTTGTAGCAGACCCAGGTTGCTCCATGCCCCAATTGTCTTAGAACCTTCTGCCTTTTGATGCTAGCATCATGGGATATGTTGTAGGGTAGGATGTCAATCAGGAACCCCATAGTATGGCATATTCTGCCATGCCACAGCTAGGAATGAGGCATTTTCCTCATCCAGTGTAACATCACAAATCCCTTCTGTTCGTGGATAGCTGTGGAAAAGGTGAAATAAGTGAAAAGTGACAATGGGAATTGCCTGCCATTAAGTAAGTCCTCAGCTCCATGCAATTGTTACTCTACATCCTAGGAATCTCCCAAAATGCTGTAAATACTGCTGATTCACAGCACAAAAAGCCAACCACGAGAGCACACAGTTTAATCTATTATAATTCATGATGTATAAAACTGGTTATGTCAATGATGAACTTTGTACGGAAAACCAATGGTCACATTTGATTTCACAGCTTCATAAAAATTCACCAGTTACAAATCATTGGTCTCATAAGGAATAGTCTTTATTTGATAAATCATTCCCAATCAAAAAATGCTCACATGACTCATATCTAGTGAAAAAATTATGTGCACTGTTCTCATGTCAAAGGAGCTGGATCCTCTTCATAATATACCAGGTTCAGGGAGTGGAATCCCAAGGGATTGAGAGTTGAATTGACATACTTGGAGAAGCGCAATGTCTCATCGTCTCGGTAAACTAGAGCCAGGCAGTTTTGCTTGGGTTCCACTGTCAATAACTAAATAGAAATAAACAGAAATTGAGGGACAGTTCAATTTTTTTGGAAAAATGTCCAAATGAACATACTTCTTCGTCTTCTCCTTCGGCAACATATGACAAGTATCCACCCATGTGAGACTTCCAGTCCTGGCAGGACAAGAACAGAATGGCATCCAATCCAGGGGTGGACCTCTCTTTGTCATGGTCGTGAACCAATGTGTAGTTCCCCTGCTTCCACCATCTCAGTTCTTGTGTGCATCTGCTCTTCCATTCTGCAAGACATGCAAACTATCAACCAGGTGCACAGCAGCATCAGATGGATTCTTTGGATATGATCAACTCGCCTCCATCAGTGTTCATTGCTTGAGACGGTCCACCCTCTTCTTCAGTGTCAGTAGAATCACTCTCTTTGATGAGAGGAGAAAGGGACAGTCCAGTCAGCTGACCAAGCACAAGAAACATGGCCTCTGACTTGAAAAGTCGCAGGCACTGCCTCAGGATATCTGGTGCATCATCTACATTTACTAACTCATGATAGTGTCTGGAAAGAAAAGTGAAAAAGATTATAAATTTATTTGAAAAGCACAACATTCACTTGGAGGAAGAATTTGTGCAAGAATATATTCTGATATCATAGTATAGTGGGTGCTGTTTATTGCTATCTCTGGTTAATGTAATCAGGCATTTATTGTTATCAAAACACAAAAACCAAAACCAAATCCTATATTGACCATAATATTCTTTTTGGCTAATATTATCAACTCCACTGGCTTCGGTTATCAAAATTTTCTACCCAAGTTGTAAAAATAACCCTATTCAGAACCACCTTCTTGTAATCAGTGAGTCACATTCTGCAAAACGCCCCCCACTCTGCCCACTACCTTTTCACCAATAAAAGAGGCACAAACTCAAAAAACAACAATAAAATATTGACTCATGCAATTGAATGTTGCTCTTGGCATGAGTTTCACTTGCTTTGTTGCTAAATTGTAGTGAGATGTTTTATTGTAATGTTTCCATTAGTGCACCCTTCTTTTCAACCAACATTAGGTAATGTTTTATTCCTTACTTTGTTTATCCTAAGATGGGCAGGGTAATCCTCAGTGATCGCCATGTATTGTTATCAGTTGGTTAATGTTATCAAGTTCTTCATGTGCCAATTTAATCACAATTAGTGGCATCTTCTATATTTAAAAGTCACTCCATGTAGTCCTGCAAACAGGGACAATGAAGGAAAGTACTGTTTCTATTTTATTCACCAGGTCATTACAAAGGATCACATAATAAGATTGGGTCATTTTCTGTTCTAATTTTTCCTCAGCTTGAAGTACCTGGCATCAAAAGCAAGAAAACAGAATGACAGGGGCTTCTTCAATCATTTCTCCTGTTATTTTTGTTTTATTTAATTTGCCTCTAACAAAAATACTGTGTTTTTCACTTGAGTTAGACTAATTTTCACTTGACTTGGACATACATGCATGGGACATTCCTCATGCATGAGTGCTGAAGTCAAGTGAAAAAGTGTCTGACTCAAGTGAAAAACACTGTAACAGGATTCACATGTTTTTATATGTGACAAGCTTAATCTTGACCCTTCTGTTCACAGATGAAACAGATGGTGAAAAAACCTAAAGGAACAAATGGTGTAAGCAATGATGGAAATACAGAATTGATCAATTCAGCCCAGGGAGAAGTGGGAAACAAAGGGAGGGAGCAGCAGAGGATAGAGAGAGTTGCAAATTCAGCATAAGCAAATGCCGTGGGAGGTTGTGAGGCAAGTGCACATATCTGCATTACTCTCCCTCCACCAGTTTGCCATTTTTTGTACTCAAATATGAAGAAGGTTATTGAATGGTGTGTAATGACACAATATACTTAACCCCTTAAATGGACTTGCCGCATATGTGCGGTCTGGCACCTGCCATCTCTCAATGAACTCACCGCACATATGTGTTCGCGGGTTTTTTCTGGCTGGTTTACAATGGATTCGCCACGTATTTGCGGTCAATTTTGCTGTGATGGGACCTGTTGAAATATCTGCCAATAGATGGCAGAAGCTTTTCTACTATGAGCAGTAATTACTGGTATTATCGGTGGATTATTAGGATCCCCCTGTGAAGCACTGTTTTTTCCATCAATTGCAGGTTCCTCATTTGATAAAAAAAAATGACAGACATTACGAACAAGGGATTGTAATGTTTTAGTGGATATCTACGTGGTCTTACAATACACAATAGGCCTGCTATGAAATTTTGAATGTCTATCTAACATAATTACGGTAAAATTCATGAAAAGGGGAATACAAGACAAAGCAAGTTACTGGTGCAACAGATGGCCCTGAGACCCGTACATATGCAGTTACTTGCATATCAATAATTTTATAATACATGAAAATACATAAATAATAAATAAATATTACAATATATATCACATGTTTAATTATACATTATATATAATAATGCAATGATAACATTTGTCATTAATTCTATAATTATATAATAATGATTATATTATTTATTAAAAAAATATGTAAATTATTTGAATTTTTTTAATGAAAAAATTCTACATGTAATGGACATCTTAGAAAATTTTACTTCACTTTTCTATCTATTATAGTTACATTTTTATGCTTAATTAAAGTCATTAGGGTCTAGCAAGCAAAAAACCAGAGAAAAAAGGTCCCATCACAGATCCATCTTTTGCAAACCAAAGTTCCCAGTTAAGGGGTTAAACACATGAAATAGCATTAATTGAAAAGGCAAACGGAACTCAATGTTATTGACTAGCACACAGAATTAGTAAGGTGCTAATCCAATGTGAACTTGGAATATACCTATGAGATACTTGAACTAAAGAGAGTCTGGGGTTATACAAATGCCAATGTTATCAACCCATCAAAATCTTTAAAATTCAAATTCCCCCATCTGCCTAATTGATGGTATACATATTCTTGATTCCTACACCATGATTCCATGGCACTCACTTCCTTGCACCACTACTTCAATGAGCCACTGTCATTCCTTACAAAGGTGATGTGATAAAGAAAAGTATTTTCAAAGATGGTATCATGATCTAGTCGATACCTGCGATGATAGGGTCCTTTGAGGATCCACTGAAGTTCAGTAGCTTGCAAGGCCTTCTCAGTTTCCTTAAATTTTCCCTGATTCAGGAATTTGTGCAGTTCAACATTGCTAGACTCAATGAACTCTGTTCGAATATTCTCCTGTTCTTCAGGGTCCAAATAGATGGGATTAATCCAGGCTTGAACCAGCTCCAACTGTAACATTATGCATACTGTCATCCAAAAGATTACAAAGTCACACATTCAAGATATTAGACACCACAGACACCTTTAAAACATTTTTTGCTATCATGCTGACAATGACATTACCATTGAGATATGAGTTCAAGAGTTTGGACTGCAATGAGGTACTACTCTAAATGGGATACTTCTACTCAGAATAACAAAAAAACAAATTTAGGCCTCCTTAGTCTTCCTGTGAAAAATCTAAAACTGTATATTTTATGGTAGCTAGGATAAAAATACAAATATTAGCAATGTAGGTACTTCAATGAAGCATGGAAGGAGACGAGGAGGGAAAGGCTCCACATATGGAGAAGGCCTCTTGATGGGGGGGCCATGGAACCATCCATTGATGGAGAGACGTTTCTTGGTCTTCGCTGTGACTTCTGATACTTGATGATATGATGAAGGAATGACTCTGAAGAACATGAACTGGTTTCTCTTTGGTAGAATTGACTTCACCATCTTGGAGGGTTCTCCTTTGTCTGGAATAACCAGTTGCACGTAAGGTCACTCTGTTAATCTGCACGAGATGAAAAGCTAACAATTCATTCCAAAATCAACATGATTAGATTGTAATTACAACAGTTGAGGGTTTCATCAATTACCATCAACAAGGAAGAGATCAAGCGCTCCACCATCTTCTGAGCACCAATCTTCAGGTACTAGGTAATACACAAAGGCAATCCTTCTTCCCTCAAGTTCATCATCATGACAGAGGAGGACATCTGGAACAATATTTGTAAGCCAATAAAACAATGAGCTACAAGTTGTAACAAAATAGACAGTATCACAGATTGTGTCAAAGTTAGGAAGAAGTAAAATAAGAGTAGCAAGACACCTGTATGTTGGTAGAGGGAAACAGTCAAAGCAATATTGTCATTGAGAGGTAGCCCAGTGGCTTTCTTCATCCAAGGCAGAACGGTATTGCTTAAAAGCTCACAGAAAGCCTTCACACCAGGAGAGTCGATTGTCTTGAGATCATCACTCTGATGAAAGGAATACAGGTCATTGTTCTTCTTCTTACTGACCAAAGTCATGCACTCCTCTTCTAAATATTGCAGGGTTTGAGGGTTGATGGTAAGGAAATCCTCAAGAACATGGCAAGTGAATGGAGACCGTATCTCTATAAAACCTTCTGTCCCATCTGAAATTAATGATATTTGGGATTTCTGAGATTGGCCTACGAACTTATAAGGGTATTGTGACAAGAGTCAAGCTATCACTGGATTCGCATCTCTGTTTCTTCATGTTGAACCATCTCTGGATTCACCTCTACTAGTATATTCCTATGTAGGCTAAGGGATAGCAACTTTACCTTGAAACATACAAAAATAATTAACTGCATTCTTGACAGTAAAAAAAATTCTCATGGAAGTGCAAAAATCATAACAATGAGCTTTGATGAATATCAATATGTTAAATTCTCAAAGAAAAACAAATAACCAATTTAACATCTCCCTTTCATGAGGATTAATTGTCAACAGTTAATTTCAACAAACATTTCATTCATGACTGTCAGGAAATTTCAAATCCAAGAATAAAGTAATGAAATTAAAAAAACCGAACATGAGAGCTAACCCCAAGCTGACACCCCCTTTCGCTCTTGTTTTATCAACTTTTTTCAACTTAGAACCCACATTTTTCACCCTGATTTCTCTTAGATTTCTGTCATGAACTCAGCATTGATACCTAATTTGAACCCACACAAACTTCAATTGATGGAAATCTAAGTGAAATCGAAGGATGCAAAATGTGGATTCTCGTGTTTGGTTTTTTAATTTCATTGCTTTACTCTTGGATTTGAAATTCCCCAATCATCATGAATGATGTTTGTTGAAATTAACCATTGACAATTAAACCTCATGAAAGGGATATGTTAAATTTGTTTTTCGTTTGTCTTTGAGAAATTAATATATTGATATTCATCAATACTCGTAGTTATGATTTCACACTTCCATGCAAATATTTTGGCTGCCAAGAATGCTAACAGTTGTTTTTGCATGTTACAAGGTAAAATTGCTATCCCTTAGCCTACGTAGGAATATGGAGGTGAATCTGGAGATGGCTTGACGCGTGGTGATGCGAACCCAGTGATAGCTTGACTCTGGTGGTATTGTGATTTGCTGACTCACCACAGCCTTTCTCATCGTCAAGTGAGGCCGCAGTGTCAGACCGATCCTCATAGCATTTACGAATCTGCTGCAGAATCGGTTCGGAGTACTTGGAATTGAGAGAAAATTTCCCTCCAAAACCATAAGCAGCAAGCTTTGGCCTTTTCACAGACAGAACGCTGCCTAGGTCACCGATGCCATCGGGTTGACCTTTCACCTCACTGGGGACCCCGTTTGGTCCTCCGTTCACATCTGAACAGCTTTCCATTGCTGCAGACCTCAAATGCGATACCCTGAAAAGTGTTGTAGCTAGCTGGAATAGGAAAATGTATACTTCAAAAACGTGCGGGCAGAGTTAAAAGCTAGGAACATTGAATGCCACGTGATTCAGTCGAATGAAAGAGCGCGCCCATCTTTGAAACTCTTCGGATGTCAATACACAAGATCGCCTTGAGAGAGGTAAAGAAATACTTTAACCTCATGCTAAAGCAGGTATTTTTTCAGTTTGATCGAAATATCTGAATTCTGCTCTTCGTCATGAACTGGTGTTCTTTTGCAACGGGACCGCGAACAACAGACGTTGTGATTAATGTTCGATTCAACATCCCTGGCTATAGTCCCGCTCTGCTCCAAATTCTCCTCCTTTGGTCTTTGCAGAAGAGCCCTGCATTTGGTAGCGTGGCACAGATGATAGTCTTCATTTTCCCAGGTGTTTTGTGGTAGCACGAAACTTCCGACAGGCCTGAGTTGAACGGCTAGGCTAAAACGATGGCTGGCCTGGAGCCTCGCCCTCAACCGGTCTTGGATGTTCCATCCAGCACTGTAAGTTTTACTGGTAACATTTCATTTCTAGGCTTTACTGGATATATTTATTATCATTTTTGCTTGAACCTAATCAGGACGTGCGGATTTTAAAAATGACAGACTGGGCCCCGAATTAGCATTGATGTGTTACTCTTTCCCACTTCATTGGTTCCCAAAGTTTTATTTGCAGCATACATAAGGACACTCACTCCTTGGCACACTTTGCCTTCTTAAGCTATTTTCTTGCATTTAATGGGAAACAATGTTTTGACCATGAGTTTGAATATATAGCTGCAGGTCTGCTTTACAGTGGCTGTATGAATCAAAGACAGAAAGTGGAAAAACCCTGTGAATCACATAACTTTCATATCTTAGTTATAGCATGGTATTTGGATGGAAGGGTTGGTGAAGTCAAGCAAGTTGAAAACAGACTGTGAGGTGAGTAAGGGTAGGAAGGATAGGGACCCCACACAATGCTTAAGCAATTTTATATGTTTTTCTTATCAACTCTCAAAAATCTCATGGCATTGGTTTTGGGCCACAGTTTTAAGCATTGTTGTGGTGCAACCCTATTGATTTAGATATTCTCTATCATTGATTTACTTATTTGTCTTTGGCATGGCCTTTGTAGAGATAGGTTTGCCTAACCAATGTTGTCTTATTTTCTGTTAACATAGGTACCCCACATTCAGCCATCAGTGCCAGAAGTGAGTTTGATAGATGATGACAGAGACCTTACAGAAGATTATGACAAAGATCAAAGAAGTTACCCATTAAGCTTCAATCCTTATTCAAGCATCCCAACAGCATCTCGCAGTACTTCCAATCCTGCATACCCTTTATCATCTACTTCAAGTCTTCATAGAAGTTCCAGCAGTCCTGGCTTCATGTTTCCATCTACCCAGACATCTGGAATCAAGGGCATGACTTCATCTGTTGGAATGATGACAGTGAGGCCTTCAATGCAATATGCATCTGTCCCAGTTGGCTTACCCAGTGGTAAACCTCCCATTCCTCAAGGTGCGGCACCAGGAGGATCACTGACTGACCCAACTATAAGAACTTCAACTGCATTCCAAGGTCAGATCAGGATGATGCCCTTGGACTCCCTACCTGAATACCCCAAATCTTCCTACCCAAGAACTAGTAATGGCTTTTTCCCTTCTCAACCAGGCTCAAATATTCCAACTGGTCAGCTGCATGAAGTGAGGGAAAGGTTTGAACCCAAAAACACAATACCTGCACTATCTGATGTAGGGATCCCAGGCTTTGAAAGTGTGAACCATGCCCAAAGAACATCCCCTCAAGGAAGTGTCCAGTGCACCAATGATAGTCAGCCTTATAAGCTGCGCAGGAATGGGTACAGAAGCTCTGAATCCTTAGGTGAAAATGTAGTGTGTAATCTCCTGGCAGAACAAAATCGCCACCTCATTCATCTCCAGGAGCAAATCCTCCAACTGCTGAAGACTAATCGCAGCACTGAGCCAGAGGAGCCACGTTGCTGTTGCAAATGTCATGGATCCTGTAAGAACTCTCCCAGCCATCAGGTGTCTGAGGGAGTCCAAGCATCACCTGATAGCACTATGAAGGCAGGTATCACCAAGAAAACTGAACATGAAGCAACACAAGAAAAGAAGCTGGCATCTGTTGGAGTGAATACTAGCTTCAATTGGGAAGAACTCCAGAAAGTAATGAGAAGACTGGAAGATGTCCCTGAGGGTTCCTCGCTGAATAGTTCTAAAACATCAGAAAAGTTTGATTCAGAAGGTTCCATATGTGAAGACCTGAATGTTTCAGCAACTACACAAGAAAAGGAAGAAGAGAAATGTACACAATCCATTTCTTGCTCAACAGACATTAACCAAGAGGCACTTCAGTAAGTATGAATATCACAGAAGTTTCTCCTATGGACAAATTTCAACTTTTTCAATTATGAGAATGATTTTCATTCCTGTCCTCCAACATTTATTGACATTGAGGTATTTTTCATTATTTTGTGGTTTATCTTGTTCTCTAGGAATCTTAGTCATGAGGTGAGTCAAGATGAACAAAACTTACCTGTTTCAGCAGAGAACTCTTCACAGACAAGTGTGGAAGGATTCTATGAACAATTGAAGGTGAGAGATTACATGCATTCAGGTGAATTTAATTGCAATGAATGCTGGTATCTCATTAAATGAAACTTTTGTGCTTGCAGGCTCAGATGATGAATTTGATGTCAACTGCTCCCCCTGGAGCCCGTGAACAGTTGGGAGAAATCCTTGAATCTCTTGTACCCCTCAAAGAACAAGTAGCATTAAAGGATACAACTAATAAGAAACAAATTCAGGTTGAGAAAAGGAGAAGGAAAGGCATCCAGCAGCAGAAAAATATTGATGAAGTTGCTCTTGCAACAGCAAAACAACTCAAGAAATTTGGAGTGAACTGTTTGGCTCGAGAATTCAGTCCTGAGCAACAAAGGTATGTAATGTGTGTTTACATGTCAAGCAGAGTCCACTGTTGTCTCTATAAACAGATAAAAAGACTTCTTGCAATCTTGGATTGCATGGCAAAAAAATGATATTAGATATCAGCTAATGATAACATTTGAGCCTGCAGTCTTGTTTGCATTTTCTGTTGAGCTAGTATAGTGTAACCTAAAGAACATGTAATTTGTGGAAACCTCTTGCTGGAAGGACCTTCCCAAACTGGATAGGTAAGAAAAATTTTCAGCTGAAGAATTTGCTAAAAAAAAAATATGTTCTTAGGCAATAGTTTCACAATTTAAAATATATGTTTGATTAAGAGCAGACATCATGGTGGACTTGCTGTATATGTACCTAGCAAACTTGGTTGTGATAGATAATTCAGTTTTTCTATTTTAGAAAAATTACAATCACAATAACTTATAGATTGACTTAATATGCCTCCTTTAGGGATACTGCTCCAGGTTTTTCATCCACATATTGGCCACGGGTAAATTTCATGTCAATACTGATTGAGTCGGGATCATGTGACACTTCCAGCTTGGAGTTCAATTCCCTTGCCATGAAATACCTCAAAGATGACCAATTGGCTCAACTTGCAAAACAAGGTGAGTACCCACAGTAGTACATTATTGGCAACATTCATGAAGTATGATTTTTGTGTCTTCCCTGATTGTTAGGTCCTGGGCATAGAATGGCAGTAAGGAAGATTGAAGCTATCAAAGAAACCAGGGCCCCTTATGAAATGTCATTTGCAAGTAAGAAATACCTCAAGAAGTATGGGTTACTTTCAGGGGAGGCATCACCCATCTCTTCACCATCAATTTCATCCCTTGAAGAAGAATCTTCATCAGAGTATGACAGTGATGATCCTCCATCCATGGAGAAGAAGGGTCTTCTATTTCAAGCCCAAGGAATGAAGCCACCTCCTCCTGTTATTCCCAGACCAAGTTGGCCATTTCAAGATGTAAAACCTTCAGCACCAACTCCGACAGCTCTGGCTAGCAATCGTATTCTTGATGTTGAAGCATTAAAGAGGCAGCCAAAATTGCTCTAATTAGTTTATATTTGGCTAATCTCATGTTTTATACAGTCCTGTTGACCTGTGCTCCAATTTTTCTTTTTCATATGAGGCTTCCTGTGCAGGATTATGACATGATACTTATTGGTACTGTTTACAAGACTTCATGATGTTTTTGCTTATCTGTTATCTGTTCTCATTTATCACCTTAGGTTATCCCAATGCAAGCCTGTCCCTATCTTCACACTTTCATAAAAGAAATAAAATAATACAAAACCAATTTATTCCAAGAATGTTAAATAAATATCCTGCATTTGGACTCAAAAGACTGCAAGTGAGATTTTTTGTTACAAAACTCAACTATGACATGACTAGATTGTGAAACTCTCTCCACACCCACATGTTCCTTTAACATTGGGATTGTTGAACACAAATTCAGAGGCCAGCTCTGTCTCCATAAAGTCCATTTCAGTTCCAAGGAGTGTCAGCTGTGCTTTTGCATCTATTATCACTCGAGCACCTTTAGAGAAGCAATAGGATATGAATTTGAGATAATGGAAATCAAACTCTTCCAAATTCAGTTTTCAATCCTAGAATGTACTTACCGTCTTGTTCCACAACTTCATCAAACTTCTCTTTCTGTGTGGCATAGTCAAGAGTATAGCTCAATCCACTGCAGCCTCTCTGTCTGACTCCTACCTTCAATCCAATCTGAAAAATCCATGACCTTGTGAAAGTACATATGCTTATTTTTATATAGACTTGAGGGAGTTGCTTCATAAAATGAAAATGGACTGAAGAGCCCTTTGAGTACCTGGCCCATGTAGATAAATATTCTAAAAATGCAAGGAAATGTATGCAGAAACTAGAAAGTTAGATATTACTGTTGCTTAATGAAAAGGAAAATATGTTAGAGCTATTCCTGAAGTCTCTACACATGGGCTTGCCCTTTTAACTCAAAGATAAGGATACAAGAAGTTGCTGTTACACTCACTGCATCTGGCCTTTTCTCCATAAGATGCTTTATCTGGGACACAGCAGCTCTTGTCTAGGAATGGAAGAAAGTAAGTCAAATAGTGAAACCAGATCTCACACTCCACAGTGTGGAAAGGAATTGTATCACATCAAAGACGAGAGGGCAGACATGCAATCACAAAACAGACAAGCATTCCACAAGCTCCTCTTGGCATGGAAGCCCCATATCTCATTACTTGATATTTACATTTTACATAACACTGAACATTTTCAGATGAAACTGATTTGCCATATTTAGGCTTAAATTACACCCATAGGAGAGGGTGGGGTACCACGGACTGTTTTTTAGATAAATCAAGACTTAGTTTTTAATGAAATACCCAAAAATGTGATGATACACTGTTTGATATGTTTCTCAACATTTACCATATGTAGAAATTCATTGCATGATTTAAATCCATTCAACAGAATTTTGAACATTTAAGTTCAAATGGTCCAAGGTGCCCCACCCCTGGGGCAGGATGGACCATTAGAAGGTGAACATGGGGTACCATGGACTACCACCTTGTTTAGACTTCTGTTTCATAATATTTCAAATCTCTAGCATTGTCATGATGTTATATTGAACTTCTGAGTTTACTTTGACACTTGGAAGATACTACTCTTTCTTTTGCATTCTGACTTTTTACCTTTATGTATCCCTTTTTTCTTGGACCAACTTTTTTTTAACCAGCAAATGCAAGACTTGATATTTTTCCATCATAGACCCCCTGCAGTCCATAGTGCACTGTGTTTTTGTACTATTCCTAATATAAAGGGGAGCAAAAGAAAGTGCACCATCTCAAGAGATGATTTCGATAATCGAGATTTGAAGATAGTCTATTAGTAAAAACAGACCTCCATCTTCTAAACACAAAATTTTTTCAAGACTTCATTTTTTTTTTAATACCTGATTTTTTCAGCTTTTTCATGCTGCATGAAAGTGAATGATATGATTGAGACTGATGAAAGATTTTGCAAACAATGAAGCAATAAATAAATAATCTACTTTTCATCAATGATAATGAAATAAAATTCTCTGCCATCCACAGGAAAAGACAATCTTTTATTTTTGACATTGAATTGGTTTGGTCTTGCTACAAAAGAATCTGGAAATAGTTGCCATTTCTTCTGCTATTGGCAAACTGAATATACTCATTCTAAATAATTAATAATGAATTCATCTCAGTTTCTCAATCATGCTATAGACCTAAAACAGTCAAAATTTACTAATCACACTATTATACCTGAAAAAATACATCCACTCATCCAAAAAGGGATTTTAAATAATAAAGAAATGATGGAGGACACAATTGTACATATTAGACACTATATACATTTTGCTATCGTCATAATATAAGAAAAGAAGTCACCATGAGATATGATTGTTATAGACAGAAAGTTTTCATTTTCAGTACTGCTAAGACATACTGAAACTGGAATCTCCCATGGTTTGTGGTTTACCTTGCATAATAAGTAATGAAGAGGTCCCAAGAACATGAGTAATTAAGGTGAAATAAGCACGAAAATCAGCCCACCAGTTCCAAAATCTAGCACCCTTACTTCAAAATGAGGCTCACACTTAAATTAAGGGAATCTCCATTTCTCCATTTGCTGGGAAGAAGCTAGACAAACCCAATCTAGTTGTAATGATCCTTCAGTGCAAAGGAGATTCACTGATGTAAATGTAGGATGAGGTAAGCTAATTTTTGCATTGGACAGCCAGCCCTGTTTCCACTACTATACAGAAGCATATTCATTGCCAAAAACTAAACCATTAGCTCCATATGCTGGAAGGGAACTGGTAGCTTCAGGCAGAAACTCTCAAGCTGAGAAGCCACACATATTTGCCAAAGGGGTCAAAACAGATTGGTGGCTGTTAATGGTTACTGTTCCACAGTAAGCATGGTTTATATTATCCACTGTATACTTCGAATACATCTCTTAAAAATAAAATCAATTAATATATTGCCCTAGTGTTTATGCACGAAATTTCACAACAGGGTGATGTTTTTAAACTTATTCTATAACTAAAGAAAACGGAACACAGCAGACACAAGAGAACCAAATCCAACCTACCTCTCCAGTTTAAAAAAAGAAAGTCTCTCCTAACAAGACATAAGGAGACAAAAGAAAATGCTAATTTTTAATCAAGTAAGAATTGTTAATTCTCCTGGTCAAATTCATATAGGAAGTAGAAAACCAAAACAAGGATATGTACTCAATCATCTTCTCTCCACAAGGGAAAAACTCCATAAACCATCCATGCCAAAGACTTCAGGAAAAGAAATTAAAATTACATATATTTTATTATAGAATAAGTACTGCAATAATTAGTCCTGCTCTTGCTTTCCTACTCTTGACGATGGTCTTATTTTCCAAATAGAATGAGATATGTTTACCTTAGGTTCAGGGAAAGTTGTTTTTAAAGATGTAAAATAGGTAGGCATACGAATAGGCTTTGTTTTGGAATATAGGTAAGCATATTTCCTGTGAAGCGCTGACATTTCATCAAGCCAGTCCAACACCACCCTGAGGAAAACTTATTATCGCAATGGCACCTAGATAGATATACCCAGCTGAAGCACTTCCCAATAATGTTCACGGACGGGGGGTTTTCAAGTACCTCTTCGTGACCTTGGGACTTAATAAAAATTAACGAAATAAAGCCGAATAATCTTACAAGAACAAGAGCCGCTCTTGTGGCAGTCAATCTGCGACCTGCGACAGCACGGACAGTCGCAGTTCCCAAGGACGCTGCCATGCTCCCTCCTCCCTGAGGTCAGTGTTGCCAAAATCAGGACGACTTTTCACAAATATTCCAACTTTTCTTCACCATATTTGTCCTTCCAATGTAATGAAATTCCAGAGTTGCTATGTCAAGACCATATCACCTTTTCCGTACCTGTAAAAGTATTTCATTCCTATTTTTTAACAATTCACATGATTGCTTGGAGAAAATGCAGGGTTGTCAGTGGTGAAGCGTGCTAGGAGGTGGGGGGGCACCTGCTCATTAGACTTGTTTACAGCCACTTCAGTGGGGTGCAGTAATATGACGTGATTATGCTTGAATGTTCTCATCGCCAAAGTGAGAACGGTATGGCTCCAAGGTTGGTGTTTGCTGAAGACACAAGGTGTTATTGTTTCATGTGGTGGCTGAAGTGGTACCCGACCCGAATCCGAAACTGCATAAATATGTTGATCTGAACTCGATCGCAGTTGAAATTAAGTGCGCTTGCGGTGGAAGTCCTCGATAAGCGGAAGTGACGTCATCGCGCCAGCCGACAGCTAAAATCACGAAAATACTCTATTTATCAACTTTAACTCGCCCTCTGCCATTTCCGCTTCCACTACCGGCTCAATTCATTTCGAAAAATGGGTACCATTCATTCGATAAACCCAGACTCCATCGTCTCTATTTCCTCTTCACAATTTCTCATCCTTTAAATGCAAAAACCGAGAGCGCTTCGTCCCTAAGGGTGGATTTTTGAACAGAGCACTATCTGATATTGCAGCTTTATTTCAGAGAAAATGCATTATAAATCCGGTAAATAAAGCTGCATTATCGGATAATGCTCAGTTCTCTTAGTTTATCATCCTAGAGATGAAAAATGGCATCTTTCAAGTTGAACGGGGGGGGAAGAGAGAGGAAACCAGGAACCACCCGCTTCAAGTGCAGAAGTATTATGGTACCTTTTGGTACTCGAGTAGAAAGACTTGATGGATTTTTTTTCGAGAGGTATGTCGTAAGTATACCTGTTAATAAAAAAAAAATTATATATTAAAAAATAGAGAAATGAAGTCGGAGGCAATGAAAGGAGGAAGCATTTGCCCTCGCAGATCCAGAGCCCAAGGCTGTCTGGCCCTTCTTGGCTTCCGTCTCACATTCCCTATGACCCTGTCGTATTCCCCTTCTTGCTATGACACGGATTCGATGAGACAAAGAGGGCCATGTGTAGCTCCGTCTCGAATCTGGCTCAGGGTTTCGGGCTATTTTCTCTTTTCCGGCCGGGGAAATCGCACTTTTTTGCTTTTGTAAATGGTATATTAGAGATGCTTTTGAATAAACGCACTATGCATGCGTACTTCCAGTTCTGACTTCATTTGAATCTTTTTGTGGAAACGAAGTGTTTCCTCGGGAAAAACGGGAACGGAAGAGGACATGCGTGTCTCTGAACGCATTCTCCTTCTCCCCCCCCCCCCTCATGTTCTATGGAAAACGTCGCAAGCGACGGGTGTTTCACATCGTCTTCGCATCGAGTGAACAAGGGCATAGTCGTCCATATGTCACACAGTCGAGCGCGCTTCTCGGCTTAGTACTTTCACTCGAGTATTCCTCGAGTACCTGCAGAATCCAATCGGTGGGGGAAAACGCTCCAGAAAGCGGCTGAAAAGGGCCCCGACGGATGCGCATGCCACGACTCAATCCGATGCACCACTGACATGAATCTAACGGGGAGAAGAGCGAGGGCACCAAGTACCCTTTACCCCCGTAGCTGGACAAGCGAGGGGCATTCGCCTTCACTCTTCCCATTGCACTCGGGTTCCTGCCCTTCCTCGTAAGTAGTCCAATTGCTATATTCATATTTTTCGCTTCCCTTTTTTTTTTTTTTACTTAAAATAACTTGAAATTTAAAATTCCAGTCATTCCAAAAATGAGCTGAACGAGTGAAAGCTTATATTTTTGCTGGCGTTTTTCTTGATTAATCTTCCATTGAGGGTTTTCAGCTTAAGTTAGTCAGGTATTTATTAAACTTTTCACATTGTTTCTGATGTTCAGCAGCAAGTCAGCTACATGGACATTACGTGTCTTCTTTTCTCTGACGTTGCAGAAATTTAGCGAATGCAATCATGAACAAACCACAAAGTATTGGAAAATGAATTAAACTTATATTAATAGATTGAAGATCCGTCTCATCGCATGACACTGAATCTATCATGTATTCTATTCCCAGATGGGATCATTGACACACTACGAATGTAGAACCTTTTTCATTCCTCGTTAACAAAATTGACACTAAATTCTCTGCTATGAATTTGAAATCCAGTTCGAGACGGATCGACCCGCGAGTCCATCGTGTTTGCAGGCACCCCATTAGGGGATATTGATTTTGTAAAGCCCCTCTGCACGTAGGGCCTCACTTTCTTCCGATACATTTTTAAAAGTTTCCTCGGGATTGGAAGCCAGGGGAAAGTTCCAAGGGAAGTGTCTCTCTGTCTCCATCTTTTCTATGACTTTGGCCTCAAAACTGGAGCGGGTCGAAGAGGTTGGCGAAACCTGCAAGAATCTTAGAGGATTCTAATGCCGGCGGGGAGTTGGGTATACAATGAAAGAAAGCTCTCCATCGTGCATCTCGAGCGCTAATTATAACTTTTTTTTAGAAATTGGAAAATGATCCCCGCCGATTAAGACATTCATGATGTCAGGTATGTATGATTCACATGCGTCACAAGGGCTATTTTGTTGTCGCGTGCTGCGCCAAGCGGTTCCGTCTTCCCCGTGCACATTTTATGGCCGTTTTCATGGGGAGAAATGCAGAGGGGGAGGGGTACACGTGCAAAGGCATGGCTAAGTAAATCTCTCCTCCAAGAAGTCATGATTTGTCGACTTATGTAATCAGACGTCAATTTTTTTTAATTTTGCACTGTAATGTAACCAGGAAATATCGATTTTGAAAATCCAAATGATTTGCGATTCTTCAGCACGTTCTCATCGTGTGGCTGCCAAATTCGACATCTGTCATTTTCGCATAAAAAAACCTTGCCTTCGATTCTCGCAATGCTAAGTGGCAAAACAGAAGTAATGCGCCATTGATACTTACCAACGATTAATTAACATTTTTGATCAAGCAATATAGAGCCATGTTCCATCTGGTTACCAAAAACAAAAATGAATGAATTCGTGAAATTGAGGGGGAAAAGAGAGAAGTAATGAGAAAGTGGTGAGAAATTTACCACCATCTGGTGCTCTTCAATGTTAAATGTTGCCCTTTGTTGTACTGGCGGGAAGTGAGGAACTAAACAGTCTCACCACTGTCCGCCCTTGACGTCAATAACAGGTACGTGCAAATTCTCAACACACTTTTTGTCTCATTTCCAAAGTGCATGTTGGTGGGTGACGGTAAACTCAATGGAAGCATATATATGGAGACCCTTCGGATGTGGCACGGAATCGTTTGAAAATCAATATGGAAGCAGAAATGCTTTTACATGGGGCTCGGTGTGATCATGATTGGGTTTCAAATAACGGGGGGATTTTTCATGAGGTCAGACAGGCAGAGCCATCTATACGCAATGCAGGGGCCTGTCCTAGCAAGGAGTGAGCCAGGCATTTTTATTTCGGCACTGTCATAACCACACGGCAGGAGGGGAGGAATGACATGCCGCAGTGTTCGGAGGGGACTTCGCAATTGCAAACACCGCACGGTAGCCGCAGAAACGGAAGGGGACCGCACGACGAGACACGGGCAAGAACGGGAGAAAAGCGGATGTCGCGCAGGTGCACAGGCGGCGGAAGAGGCAAGCAAGGCGAGGATACCCCCTCCCCTCTCAGTCACATGCATTCTCGTTCCCTGCCACCACCGGCACAGACTCCGCTCCGAAAAAAGTTATTGAACTCGAGAGACTGAAGCCAGCTCGTCCCTGCAGCGCATTTATACGTTTCTGCTCGGCCCGGTCAGTGACGTCATCCTCGTGCATGCTCGGGGACGTTCGGCCTCCTGTCGGGCCAGAGTCGAGGGAAGAGCGAGCGGAGAGAGAGAGTGCATGTCCGCTAGTGGCAGGGGAGTGAGCCTCGCTCCTGCACGGGACACACTATATCCCTGTTTCCCTCGGACTCATGCAGAATTCTGCCTCACAACTCAGAGATCGACTCCTTCAGGCTTTGGATCAGGACAACAATGTAAGATTTCAGCTCTCCATCATCTGGTTAGGTCGAGAACCGAAAGCCGTTCTCCGGAGCACGTAGGCCTATGGGGAAACGGTGCACTCAGACCGCCATCTTGCCCGAAAATTCCCCGAATTCAGACGCCGATTTAGGAGGGAAAACCCGGCGAAAACCCTTCGTTTATCCCCCGAGATGAAAGCGGGGGACCGGCAGATCGCATTGGTACACGATCGAGGAGCACAGCATGCACGGACGAGGAAAGACATCACATTGAAAAAGGGGATGCGGAGCTCGAAAGTCCCGTCTGCCATAAGCAGCGACTCGGGCGTCACGTCACCAGGCATGCGTAGCCTCAAGTGCGCCCACTCTCAGTCGTCATGCGCACAACATGTAGTTCCCGGAAAATGCGTTCTGCGCTGCTTCAATCAATATTCCTCCCGACTCCCATTCCCAACACGCTTCTTTCCGTACTGTTCGCGATACCAGCTACCACCGCGAACATGAGCAGTAGGCCTAGGTCGATCTGCACAGGCCTTTCTACGTCTCGCATGTCCCGCCTTTTCCGGCAGAATTGATGACAGGCCTCGCCCCCGGCTCTCGGTCGCGGCGGGACGAGGCCTGCAATGGCGCGTAGGCTCCTTTTCGCCGCTCTGGTGTAACACCCATGTAGTATTTCCACACTACGATCTTCCGAAAAGAGCTGGACTTGCTGCAGGCCTAATGCAGGTACGCGTTCCTAGCCTTCCGGTTTCCGAAACTTTGAAGTCAGCTCTGGCATAACAAGGAAAGGAAATTATCTCAATGAGGTCGGTACAGCCTTTGCGGACCGGCTTCTTGGGATTTGGCAGCGTTTAAGGTGTTTAAGGTTTAAGGTAACTTCAAGTTATTTTTGAACTGTCCGAAGGCAGTGAAAGGCCCCCAAAATCCTGCTTATGGTTTTGACAATTAGTTCATCTAGGCCCATCTTAAAAATATGAAGTTCCTATCAAGCATAACTAAGTTATTAATTGCTAGTTTCCCTGTTTATGTTTTGTTTCTTTATTCTGCATCTTTCAGAAAAAAAACCTGATGATAGCAGAGTTACATGATGTAAAACCTGCTCAAATCAGCAAATAAATCAAATATCAATTGGCAAAGCAAATCAAGAAATCCTAGGACTGTCGGGGGGGGGGGGGGATAGTGGGAAAATCATGGATGATACTACTAAAATTTCTTAGGAAAGGTGGAATCAAATAACACCAAAATTACCTTTTTTATGAAATGTGACCTGATGTAATCTGAAAACATGTTTGTATTTTGCTCTTTCTGATGCCAGAAATCCTTCTAGCATGCATTGATGCATGTGCAAATAAGCATAAATATTGTAACTATTTATAGGAGTTAAGCTGTACTTAAATTTCATGAATGTTTTTTCTTGGATTTTGAGTGAAGGAAGAATTGGGGTGGATAGGATGGGGCCAAAAAGTTTATTCCAGCACCTGAAAGGGGGACCATAGGAATTTGCCAAAAAATATATGGTTCTCTTGTATCTTGTGAAAAGTACCAGTACACATATCTTGCACTTTATTGTCTTATTGCCTTTGTGGCATAAACTTACATAAACAACATGTTGAACAAAACTTTTAGATAGTAAATCCCTTTGCCTCTCTCCTAAAAGGCAGAAGTTTATTGAAAGTTACTAATAGTATCATCCCTATTGACCACATGAAGCATTGGGACCATCAGGAACCTGGTGGTCCTGATGTATGAAGCATTGGGACAATGAGGTCTACCTCACTAAGCTCCATTCTCACTGTGCATGCAGCATTTATGCCACAAAAGAATTAAGGTGCAGTAGGAGGTGTGACACTGCTGTCCCTTCCTGAAGAAATCCCTGGACTTATCTTTATGGAGATTCTCTGCTCAGCACTTCACTTCTAAAACTAAACCACTTAGCTAGTGGGGGTGACTTTTGCAACATCTATATTCCATGCTGTCACAACTGAGATCCAGAGAAAGTAGCATCCTCATACAGAGTCAACATTCAGAACCCTTTAAAAGTGCGCATACCTGAGGTAACTTGAAGCAGAAGTGAAATTTACTTATGTCTCTGGTGAATATTAAGGAGCACTTTATTCATGTCACATTTTTCATTGTTGGATGCTTGTGTGATGGAGAAGAGAACTCATCTTTGTGGTATTTGGTGCAAGATATCCAAGGTTTGCTTTTAATTATAGCATACAACCCCTTCTGACATTGCATGGCATTAAATTCAAATTAATCTTGAATACTGAATATTTATTACTTCAAATATCCTGGTCTTGCAAGACTCCATTCTAAATGAAGTGAGCATTATGATGTAGGAAAATATATTTTAAATGTATCAGGTCATCCCATAAGTAATGCGGTTTTTTCACATTGCCAAACTTGTGTCTTGTTTATATGTGTATCTGTGGACATCTCATGGAATATTTCTATGCTAACTTGTGTAGACGTTAGTCTCCAGTCTATGTGCAGGTTTTAACGAGTTAACAGCGCTCTGTTTTTCTTAGACATTAAAAACAAGATGGAGGTGTCAGAGGAACACATTCGGCATATAATGCTTTATGAATTTAAGAAAGGGAATAACGCGACTGCAGCTACGAAAAACATTCAAGATGTTTTTGGTGAGGAAGCCCTAAATGCAAGGAAATGCCAACGGTGGTTCCAGAAGTTCAGGTGTGGTGACTACAGCTTAGCCGATGAAGCATGTTCAGGCCGACCTGTTGAGTTTGATGATGACCTGCAGATAGCCACACTTGAAGATTATCCTGCTAATGAGTCAATTCAAAAATGGCGCTTGAAGTTCACAAGAATGCTGTGAAGCGCAAATGTTTTCCTGATCTCTAAGATTGTTTGGTGACAACACATGTGGAACCCACTTTCCAAATTTTGACACTTTTCCCAGCCGCTGTTTCCCGTCGTTTCCTAGTGGCAATGAACGGAGAAATGGGTCAAAATGAGTTTCTGGGCAAGTTCTTCAACTGTTACAGCAGGATCTTCTTCAAATGTGGCTATCAGCAGGTCACCATCAAACTCAACAGGTTGGCCTGAAAGCACTTCAGGATGTTAGATTGGTATAGACACTATTCCAATTATGAAAATATAGGAAATTTAAGTCCTTTTGGCCTACCTTGGTACTTGCTTAACAGTAGTTATTGTGGGGTATATCATTCTCATCAATTTTTCAGCTCATTGATGTAGAAAGCAAGTGCTCAACATTTTTTTTTTTTGCTTTTGTTCCAAGTAATTCCATCTGATTTATCTTTGAACCTCTGATTTTCTGCATTTTCAGGTGGTGGACATGGCTGCCACGATGGAAGTCATCGCTTTGCTGGAGAAAACACCAGTTACTCGTGAGATTCTGGAGGTGAAGCTCTAATTTTTCTTTTCTTTTCAGCAATAGGTGGAACATTCTTGGAAGTAGTACTAAACTGTTAAAATGTGTTGGCCTGGAGGCTCCACCTTCAACATTGGAACCCAGGCATGCAATTCATCAGTTGCAGTTCTATTGCATGGATTAATAGTACAGCTGGTACATTGCCTGTAATTTTTTCATCTTTTTTTCCCACTCTCATGAATTCCCTGAGAAACTTGTATCACTTTCTCCAATGCCTTAGTTCCTTGCCCACTTAAATAAGACCTGATGTAGACTCAGAAAATTAAGATAAACTAGCAACAACCTAGGTCTACCATAAGTGACCAAGGGAGGGCCTGTTAATGTAGCCCTAATTAACAGGCAAAACTGAGTGTGAGGCCTTGTAACAATTGTTAGCAAGTTGCACATTCTCCCTTGGTCCCTTATGGTAGACCTAGGTTGTTGCTAGTTTATCTTAATTTTCTGAGTCTACATCAGGTCTTATTTAAGTGGGCTAGAAGCAAGAAGGACATAGGCTTTCACCCAAACACATTTGCACTAACTACTTTTCTCTCATTTTTGGGCTGAACAGAATCCCACTTGTCTCTAAGTGGACTATACAGCTTTCATTCTTAATTAGCCTGGGCTGGCATATCACTGCAATATCAAGCACAGGCAAGTTTTTGTGGCTGCAAACATTCTGAAGTATAGTTATAATCACTTCAGATGATAATAATTAAGAAACTGTGTGTGAGACTGGGAGAATAAGCATTATCATATTTCATGTTGCTTTCATGACTAACTCATTCATGCCTCTCTGAAGATTTTTTTATAGCTCTGTGGTAGGCTGCTGCCCTATCTTAGTGAGGCAATGCAAAAAATAGATATATTCCTGCTGAAAACTGGATCTGCTGTAGACTGTTTACATTCTGATTCCTATTGAAATTCAAAACTTTTCAAAGGTCAGTCAGTCATCCTGCTTAACATGTTGACCACCAAGGTAGTTTTGCTAATTCTTTCCTATGGTGTCACATAATGTGAACATGCTGGCATGTCACACTGCAAGTTTTATTAATTTTACCCTAGATGTGGTACAAAACATGATATGTCGGCATGTTGTGTGGTGGTCAATGTGGTGAGATGTATTAAATCAACTTGAGTCCACAGGGGCAGAATTTGAGTGGATTTTCTAAGTTGACTTAATTCAATTTCGGCAGTGAATGTATTAACAAATTCAAATTGTTCTCTCAACAGACGACACGGCTTGGGAAGTATGTCAACGAGATGCGTAGGAAGACAACAAATGAGATGCTGGCAAGAAGGGCAAAGAGTCTCTTAAGACAATGGAGGAAAACATGTTTGAATCACCAGAATGGTTTGTCATCAGAACAGTCAGTTGGTAACCTTTCCTCCAGAAATCACAAGGTGCAAGGAAGCCCTGGGAGCCCCGGCAGATCTCTACCTTCTTCTACATGTTCAAGTCCCGCCTTCCCCATATCCCGTCCAGAAACTCCCTCAGCTTCCATGGGAGGAAAAGGTGCTTCAAGTTCTGTCTCTCTGAAAGGACGGATTCCACCCATGGATCCAACCTTCATTCCTACAATTGACACTTGGTCCCAAGAGAGGACATCCCACAAGTATGCATCCAACAAGCGTCTCCGGAAAGACAATCCACCCGAGAATGACTTTTCTCCACCCCTGCCAAAGAAACCTCATTTTTCTGTGCTGGAAATTGAGTCAGATGTGGAACCTCTGGTGAACGGAACTGGAACGAGAGCTGTCTCTCTTCCAGTAGGATTGGAGGAAACCAGCAGGGATAGTTTTTATAGCGACAAGAGTGATACAAAAGTGCCTGGTGCTGTGATTCTTGGCTTGAGAAAGAAGGGAAGCCGAAGAAAGATGGTCCAACAGACAGATGTCCTCCTAGAGAAGTTCCAGTACTTGCAGCGCTCCTCTAAGGTGAAGACCACAGAGGAGCTAGTGCAACAGTATGGATCCCCTCTGAAAGAAAAGCCTGCCAATGAGAATGTGATGGGACGCCCTGGCCGCCCTGTGGATCCTGCCGGCATACGAGATGAGATGATGCACAAGTGGCTTGAGGCTCAATCCAGTGAAGAACATGTGACTCCAGAGGTTGAGATCATTGAGGAAGAACCTAGTCGCTCTCCACCTAGTCCCTGCCCTCCCCCTCCTCCCTGCCAAACCTCTTCTTCTGTTGACAAGATACTTTCTCGCCTTCCTCCTCTGGATTATGATGCCATTCAGTCCTATATAGAGAAATGTGAGGAAGAGAGGGCAATGGAAGAAGAAGAGAAACCAGAACCTGTTCCTGTCACAGCAGAGGCTGTGCAGCGATTACATTCTGAGGAAGTGCCGAATTTAAATGGTAATCAGAACTTTGATGGGGAGTTTCGGCAGTGGCACCAGGCGGTATCTGTGCCGTCTTATAATGGGGACCTCCTTCATATCCTCCCTTATGTTGTCATCGATTGAGGATGTCTGACCATTAATGTTTCTCCAGTAATCTCTTGAGGTGTCTTCCCATAGTGTTATAATTTTAATTTATTTTAGTTGCTAGTGGTGTTCAAGTTTCCTCTGTCTGTCATGGCTTGCAAGCTTGAGAGGAGGGTGTGCACACTTGATAGTCCCAGTGTCTTTGGCCAATGTGGATTGATGAAATTCAGGTGCCCCTTGGTTTCCTTCTCATTTGAGGGTTTGTGTTTTTTGTATTTGATAACAGTGAAAGCACTCTGTGTCGAATTCACCCAAGTGATCAGTCTATTTGTGATGATGGATATGGCTAAATGATTGGGTCATTGCACTGGCATAGAATTGATTTTGATCTGCAACGTCTTCGCATGGCCCAAGTATCTGTGATCCTGAAATTCAGCATTCTTGAACGATTGAGAAGAATTGCGCATTCTGATTCCCGTCGTTATCTCTCTCTTCTTCCTCATCCAGGTGATTTGTGAAAGTTGTTACCCTTGTGCATTGTCACTGGATCCAATGTTCTTTCGTCTGCCATTGAATCGCCTTGATGAAATGAGGAAACTTTTTTCTTTGAGGGAAACTGTGATATCTACACCTGAATAGTGTCCTCTCCAGTCTTTCCTTTCCTCTGTCTTTGTTCAAAACAAAGGGAGAATCATTTGCTTTCGTATATTCATGGCCCTTGTTACCAAGAGGCTGTCACTTACAAGGAGGAGGAAGTTCTTTCCCTCTGAGGTATTTTGTCCATGAAACTCCTTGCCAGAGCTGAGAATAAAGGAATCTGATGATTTACACTCAAGTCTGTTGATTAACTTGTATTGGTAATGGTGAATGAATAATGCGAACAGCTTAAATGCTGCTACCCCTTGTAAAAGTAGAAGTTATAATCTGTTTTCCCCTGTCTAATTGTTTGCAGTCAGACATTGATTAGGTGCAACTGGTGTGTATTTTATAGAAGGGATGCATACCTCCCCAATATCTTTTGTTCCAGGAATAATTATTTGCCATGTAACTGGGGTAGCTGCCTTTTGACATTAAAATTTCCACTCTAGTACTGTGCTCACCCCTTTAGGTATCCCTGCATTTTGGTTGTCTTCAAAATTCTGAGTGGATGCTGAAATGTGCATGCATGCTATGCATATTTAGATATTCCATTAACAAGCACATGCAGCAGGAAAGAACTCCCCAGTTGAGGGGGTAATTAACACTAGCACTACTTCCATTTCAATTGTTCGCATAAAGATCTGAATCAGGTCTTTGACATACTTTAACCTTTTGGGGTCCATGCCAGAGTTCTCTCATGTTGGCCTAGTACCAAGGTATGAAAAAACTCAGTGACGGTGTCAACATATTCCAAATACTCAGACACTAAAAGGTTAATGATTGTGTCCTGGTAATTGATTGGGCACAGTGAGTTCAATCCTCCAGAGCCAATGTGAGTCTTGCAGTCTCAGTGGCACTACCCTGTTCCAGGCATGGTTATGGACTTCTTTTCACTCTGTGCCACTAGTTCAAAGATATTCTAATGGTTGTGCTGGTGACACTGTAGCTTTGCCCATAACATGTCAGGAAGCATTTCATATTTCATGAATGACCTTTTCCTCATCCAACTCAGATGGGTTATCATGGTTGTGCTCAGTAACACTCAAGACATGGTCTTAATCATCCAATAAGATGCCAACTTAACATTCATTGTATCTGTTGGGTGATGGAGATGTGGTAGCAAACACCAATTAGTAATGAAAAGGGATGTGGCAAATGAATGGCTTATGGCCAAATGAGAGAGAGCCTGAGAGGCAAATCAGGGAGTCCTTTTATGCCCTGCTATAAGGGGGTGGAGGAATGGAGGATGAGAAGGGGTGGAAATTTATGGCCATCAGTCCTGCTCAGAGTGCATGTATCACAGTAGCATATTCAATAGCTTCCTTATTCCTAAACTTCAATGACCTCCAGATCTTTCTCTATCCAACTTACACAAAGGGAAAAAGACACCTGAGATTTATGCTTGGTTAACCCATAAAAGGTTGAGGTAAACTTTCAGACATGGTTCTTATTTTAGTACACTACATTTATATGGTTTCTTTTTCAGCTCATAAAAGCAAAAATAGGCCAAAGAAACTCCTTAGCTGCAAATATTGAAAATTTCATTAAATAATGAGGTGAGTTCTTGCTATAGGGATTAACCCCTTGCCATTATTTGATGGTGTATGCTTTCATGGCACCTTCAATTAAAATTTCTTCTAAATGTTATAATTGTGATAGACATTGGGTTTGGTTTGGATTGCTAGGTTGCAGGGTTTGTGCCCCTGTATGGTTGTCTAATACCACACAAGCAATTGTAGCAAGTTAAAGTATTGAAGACTTGAAAAATGACACCTTTTTTTAAATATATGAGGCCAGTATTCAAATTATGATAATTTTCAGAATCATTCTGCATTACAAGCAATCAAATTGGACAGTTGATGAGTTGCAGTCAATGTGAAGTAGCAAGATAAACTTTGTTTTCTGAGATTATGTTTTTAGATCAAATCTGTTGAAGTCCAGGAAGGAAGGAATATGAATTTTTGCTTTAAAAATGCACCCAACACAAAGAATAGCTGATCTAGAGGGAAAATTCCAACAGATCAAATCAAATGATCATCAAGATACCTATGGACAGCCATCTTGAGAAACAAAGAGACATTAACTGCAGTTACAGGGGTATTTACTTGTTCCAGAATGAAGTGAAAAGCTAAATAGGGATGAGTATTGTAACAGGCACGGGGCGCAGTGGGTTGGATTTATGAAAATACCAACTATTAATTAAGTTCAAATAAAAACTTTACCTTAACGCACCCCGATTCCACTACAATGAATTCCTTCCAGGAAACCAGGTCCGTGCCAATTCAAATTCGAGTGGGAGTAACTAAGGCGTAATTCAAGAAAACAAAAAAAAATGTATTTCCAAAAAGAAATACAAAAAACAATTTACATACGTGCCGGATCGCCCACTTCTACAGAAATTAAAACGATTCAAGTGGTGAAAAGTGACTCTAACGGTATGATACATGTGTCGTTAAAAGGCGGTAGAGTGGGAGTAACTAAGGCGTAATTCAAGAAAACAAAAAAAATGTATTTCCAAAAAGAAAAATTAATAATAAAAAAAGACAAAGGAAATGTTAACCAAACAACCGGTCCAACCCCTTTACAGTAATTTCAATGACAAAGGGCTGATCTTCACCTCCAGATAAAACCTTGCAAGTTCTGGGGAAAACTCACGACCTTCGAAGCGAAATGATCCTTTAACTATGTCGTTGTTCCTCTGTATGTTTTTAGAGAGGAAGGCAGCCAGTTTCAATACACCCACAATCTAAAAGGGCCCGAGTACCCCGGTCAAATTGGTACTAACTTGAATTCTTCGAGTTCGAGCTCTTCAGTCACCTCGGAGTGAGGGATCGAGGGAGGGATCTTCAGCTGAAACCTTGCTGGATTGGAGGATAGGTTTTGGCGATTAGATGTGATTGGAGGGACTTTGATACCCATTCGGATAATGATGTTGTGGCTCCTTGTACAGTGTTTGGGTAGCACATTCGGGAAGGAAAGATCCTGCATATAAACTGTAAGGAGCCCTTCCACGTGTTGGTTGACCCCAAACACTGGGTTCGCCTCCCTCCACGTGTTGATGGATGAATTAGTTCACCCCCATCAGCTTCCTCCCCGACTTGACTCTACTGGATGACACTGGACGTTGCGCAGTCATAGGCTGGCATACGTTACAGTATCAAGCATTCTCAATGCACAAGGTGCTTCAGCACTTCTACTGCTGGTACTCATTCAAAATCGAATTTCAACAGGCATTGAAGATTTCCAAAAGAGATGACTGCCAATGGCATTTGCAGCAAGTTGGTGAGGATGACTTCCTTCAAAATTTTCAAAAGCATGAATAATTGCCAAAATGTGTTATTTTTGAGAAGAAAATGGCACTTAGGAGCCCCTGTGCTCCTCAAAAGTGCCTGGTGTAGAATGTCTTGGAGATCACAGTGGGCTGTGTGGAGGGATCGGGCAATAATAGGGTAGTTCCAGAAGAAATCTTCAATCAATATGTCTGCACAGTGTCTTCGGGGAAGTATATGATGTTTCACTGATTTGAACCCAAAATCTTAACAAAATAAATCTCACAATTCCACAGACTCACTCTTTCCTGCAGCCAAGTAGATGCCGTGTGCTACTTTGTTCATAATGCTAGAAGTAGCTGGTTCTGAAACACATGAGAAAATCCTTTGTCAGTCATTTTGCTACATCTTGCTGAAAATAAACTCCCACTGTTTTATTTTTAATACAAGTACCAACTCCCTGTGAGAAGCAGAATAGTGTCATCATATGCCAAAATAAGATACAGCCCTGCAAAGTCAGAAAAGTGTGAATTTTTCAGTCATCCCTGGAATTACCCCTCTATGACTTAAAGGGGATGAGAGCTCTAGCTGCAAAATGATGCATCATTTTTTCTGGGGCATTGTCTCACTTGGGGCTATAAGCTAAATCAAGATCCATGCAATCATTCTTGGTCCACCATTTTTTTTTTTACTGTCAAATTTTTTTTTTACTATATTTCATTTCAATATATATTTATATATATATACAAAATTTCAACATTGTCACTTTTACAGTATCAGAATGGTATTTTTTTTTTGCCCCATATACAAAACATTGATAAATTTCCATGAGCCTGGGTTTCTATGTTTTTAGGAAAATCTGAGATACTGGATTTTTTGCCTATTATTGTCTGAAATCCATTGTGGAGGTGCCATATTGAGTCCTTTTTCTGCAAAAAGCGTGAATGCAAAATGCATGAAGCAGAAGTTTTTACCAAATGTTCTCAAGTCAATTTCTTCCACTAGCCTTGCTCATAATGACTATGGATACACCACACTTCACGACAAACTCCAAGAGGAATAAACTACAGGGTTACTTTACTAAATTTTACTTGTTTTTTTCAGGGATTGAATACAGGGAAAATTTTTCCTTGCACCTGCAAGGTGGGAATCCTTCATGATGCAATATCCTCAAAATTTTTCTGCAGCCTTCACAATGTTCCACATTTTGAATATATCATTATTATAAAAGAACTCTTCTACAAATGGGAAGCATACAGATAGATGCAACCCAGTTTGGAGACACATTCAGCTTTGTCATTAATGGCTCCTCAACAGCCAGAACACCTACAACTCCAAGTCAATGGCAGGTAAAACAATTGACACCTAAGCATGTGTAAACCTTAAATAAGATGTCTTCATTATGCAAATACATCTTTCAAGAAAAATCTAAGCACTCCCTACAGCTTCTGGAGAAGCATGCTACTAGAACTCATCGCCCTTCATTCAAAATTCTTGCCACAAAAATGGCAAATTGGAATGTCCCACCTTCCTCTTCAATTCCATATACATAACAGGATGATTCTTGCAGCAGTCTTGGCAGAATACGGGTTGAAAGATGGATTGATCCATGCTTCCCACTGCTTCTTGAGCAATCAGTTATTATTTTGGTGTGCAGTGACCCTTAGTCATTGTAGAAAAGGAAACATAAAACTTGGCAGTGAATGTCAGCTTTGGGACAGTTTCTAGCCCATTTTTTCTGCTTACAAAAGCATTCTTTAAAAATTCTCAATATCCACAGGGGATTCCACTTGGCCCTGTCAGACTCCCTTGTGTCAAAACCAAGTCATAAACAATCAAATCCATGTCTTCTTTTATACCACAAAGCTCCATATATCTTCAAAATGCCAGCATTTGATGTTTAATTTTTGTTCAAACAGAATCTTTTTTGAGATGCTCACGGGGAGCACTACTTGAACCACTTGGTCTTCAAAATGGCCACTCCAACCTTCTTTCCCATTTCAATGTTCATCATAGGCTTTCCTCAGAGCCATGCCTCCACAGAAAAGTCACCCAATTCATTTTAAAAATGAAATACCAACAAGGAGCTTGCTTCATTTAGTGCCATTACTCTCCCACCATTTGCAGTTTCCCCTATGGTAGCCAAAGAGCTTCAATGCAAATTGGCCCTGTAGAATATTACTGGACACCTTTACTCCTCTTCATGAAAAGGTGAATTTTCCAATTGGACAAGTTGTTTTGCACAGCCCCAAGTATTTGAAATGTTGTGCTCCCCTCACACACCAAGTGGCAGATGCCCTTGGCAGTTAACATGTTAAAGAGGAAATATTAAACTTTCTGCTGCTGAAAGTTTCATGAAAATCTATCAACTCTGAAGCAAGGTATGGAACACCAAAAACTAGACTTTAAGGATGTTTACAACCAGCCGCAGGTTTCACAAAATTTTTGACTGAGCTGTATTTTCATAATTAACAAGAAATTTGTGGATTTTTGCTGACACGAGCACAAAAACCAACAGTGCAATGTAAAATTGGATGCTTGGACGAGAAACATAAGCCTCTGACATAGAGTGGCCCAAAAGTCAGGAACTGTAGAGATTTCACATTTCTACAGTATATGCTTGGATTGTGGAAAAATGTTCCATTCCAAGCATTTCCAAGTACATCTCTTTCTGGTGTTTTATGAAGTGTACATATGCAATGCACACATTTTGCAGCCACTTAATAAAATTATGAATAAACTGCACCTAGTGGCAACAAGCATACTTGCAACAGCATTACTGCATGATGCCATAATGGTGTATGTACCACACAAAACCATGTTTCATGTCTGCATTGTTGACTATGCCAATTTGCACCAGCTAGGCCTAAGATGGCCCCCACTAACTCATGTGTCTGGGGTCACAGCCAGGAGTATTTTCATGAGCTTCTAGAATGTTCATTTTCAGCAAATAAAGTCATGTTTGTGGGCATCGTTTATCTACAATTCAAGGCAACAGACCTGTGCACTCCCCCAGTAGTCAGATAAGTGCAAATGACTGCGATGAGCATCATGTTGATTAGCAGGCAAGCAAGGCTTCTTAATTTCCAGGAGAGGCTAAAATGTAACTAAGTCATGTATGTCTTTTGGGATGAAAAAAAAAGCAAGCCTGTCTTCCAGCTAAGATAATGGTGAGCCAATGTGGTCACTCTACTTTTCCCCTACCTACAATGACAACTAGAAGTATAGTGTACAATTGAAGAGTTCTCTGGAAAAAGGGTGTATGTGCCCATACGCCCTTTTTCCGTATCCATGTCCATACACTGCTTGAGATGACTTGTCACAGGATAGGGTGGTTAGCAGAAAGTTAAAATGCATACTCAGCAAAGGAGAAGTAGATTTTCCTATGCTTTCAATATATAGCAGGCCAATTTCAATATGGCTACCTCCATGAAGATTCTATTAGCACCTGCATTGCTAGACGATTTTGATGGAATAATTCGATTCTTTTGAACTGAAAGTGAAAATGAGGTAGAAGTCAAACAGGAGGAAAGGGGAAGTAAGTGGCCCAGTCATTGAAGCCTCTGAAAGGATGCGAGAAGTTGGCAAAATACATCTAACAGTTGGAGGTTCAGATTATGAATACATTAATAATGGATTACTGATGAGTAATTGGTGAATGACACTTGTACTGAATATTTACCCTTTTATTGCCATTCTCTTAGGAAGAGTTGATTTGAAATCTGTAGATATATTTCTTGATAAATTATGATATTTAACAGGAAAGAAGTGGTGAAAGAATGATTGATTGAAAAAAGTTTCAGCAACACAGATATGGAAAAGGGCGTATGTGCATGAAGACTTTCTGCCTGCATCCTAGCAATGTGAGATAAAGAAATTTGTTAAAACCCCAAGTTCAATTGGGAAAAGGTCTAAAATTTACTTGACTGAAAACTGAGTTTTGACCAGCTGCATATTAGAAGTGGGAAGTTTTTGCCATTCATCTCAAATTGCATCCTTTGCATATATGCCCTTTTTCCAGAGAACTCCTCAATTGTAACAGACTGCTATAATATATCCTGCTTTTTTTCAAAATTGGATAGTGAAGCATGGGCCAACATTCAGGCCTGAATAGTTCAACATTTAAAAGTCTGATTGAGTGCTTCAGTCTCAGACCTCTTGAAAACGAATGGAAAAACATGGAACCTCATATGTATGCATGGGTTGAAAGACAAATTACCATTTAGCCCTCAAGAAACCTTCATTGACACAAATCGATACAGATGAGATGAAAGCAACCATAGGTGGCAGGAGGAAACAAGAGGGCTAGCATTTTAAGGCATAGCATTTAGTTCTTTCTTGATTTCAGCTCCTTGACTTGAAGTCCAGGAGGCAGAGATTGCTTCAGTTTCTCTGCTTTCTCCTTATCCTTCACCACCAATGTGTAGAGGTACCGACTGCATCGCACCTTGAACTTCACGTTGTCGGAATTCTTCTTGATCTTCACACTCTTAGCATCCTTCCTCCGGGCAGTAAGGAGGAAGTCCTTTATCTCCTTGATTTCCTTAGGCATGTTTGGCGGATCGCCCCTTATGAGACCTAGAATAGCACAAACTGATGTCTTATATGCCGAAATTCATATACCCCTAACAAAGTGCATCAGACATTAAGTTAGACCAGGACAACTCTGGTCAAACTCACGGGAGGGGAAGAAAGATGCAGGAGTGGAGTGATGGCACCGTCACTAGGAAGCAGCCATGCACAAGAGGGGGGAAATCTTGCGCACCCTCTGCAGACCACGACTCACAAGTTCCAGTACATCTCTTCCCCGCTAGATGTCAGGGTACGTTCACCAGAAAGCGGCAAGATCTGCAGCAGATGCAGGGCTGAGAGGGATGTCGAATCTCCGCCCAGTCGACTGGCCACACTCGCGTTCGAGGCCCTGTTAAGTCCCGCAGCGCTCTCATTTTTCCTCTCGTCGCTTCTTCCCTCTCGATCCGTACTGGGTGAGATCTAAGTTCCAAGTTCGCTTCTGGCTTATCTTTTGAATTCTTAACTGTCAATTTCCTTCGAGAATTCCCTGTAGAGCCAACCTGACTATCGCATCAGGAAATTCTTGCTGCTCTCCAGGAAAAAAATGAGTTTATTATCCCGATCATGCTCTTATAATTATACAATGCATTGCTATTTCGTAGATGCAGCTACCTCAGCCAACGAATAATTTTATTATCGCATTAGTTTTGATATTGGAGTAGTTGACCGAATGCCGTCGAGTGCAAACTATGCGAGTTATCCAGCACGAATCGATCCGGGCGCCAGCAGTTAACGAGCCCTCATCCGTCAGTTTGCCTAAAGGATCCTAAATAATCATTTTGACGATATGACGTTTCATTCCCCCTCCATGTAATGACACAAATTGCACCCCAGCCTGTCGGTCTAATTTCCGAGGCATTCCCCCGCCTTCCGGAGAATGGTTTTCGTCGAGCCCATTATCTTCCCTTAATAACAGATTTCAGGGCTGGCATGAGGGAAGGAATGCCCCAGACGTTTCATTCGACTCCCGCGATCGCATTGGTCCCATGGGAGCGGATGAATGGGACTGGTAAAAGGCATGATGGAAGCAACGCCTATAGACCTATGGGGAGCTGCAGGGGAGAATAATGAAGAAAATCTTTGCGGGATGGCCATTTGAGCCATAAGCTGTCGTGCTGTTGCTGCATGCTGTTCATTAGTCAGTGTCAAGATCGGATGAATGGGGAACCTGCTGCTAATGGATCTGCCTTGATGGTTCATGAGAAATCAATGCTTCCTTCCTCTCTTCTTTCCTCTTTGTCCGCGTCTCCGATAAAAGGGCCGTAGAGAAATCGAATGCATATTGCAGGAGGGACAGGGGATGTTGAAGAGATCCTCGTGAAATTTTCACGAGGCCTTCGCCTCTTTATTTTTTAAGTGCGTGTCGAGGGGAATTATCGGGTGGCGGGATATAAAAGGGCAACAATTGACTCGATGAGAGAGGTGGGTGGACCCGGGGAACGTGGTGAAGGGAGTGGACGGCGGGCATATTCGATCGACCAGTGGTGGCCACTGGTGGTGCAATGGGATGTCACCTGGATGCCCGGAACGCCCCGCCTCCTCTCCTCCCTTTCCCTCCGCTCGGTGATTCCCGTCGAGTCTTCTCTCGCGGCTCAGTGGAGGCTAGGGCGAGGGGGGGGGTGCATCTCTGGGAGCGTCTCGAGGGAATTCCCCTGCATCCCTCCCCGGCTGTGTCCTCGCTCAATCCGGTTGTGTGTTTCTTCTAACGTAAGTCGCCTACTGTTCCTCTGGGGAAAAAACTTTCCCTCCCGATAACGGAACTGAGTTTCAGTTTTTCCAATCTCAAATCCCTTACGCTTGAGGTACTTGCAATTTCGGAGAGGGGGCGAAGAGGAGTGTGCTTTTGATGTCCTAATTTTGTGTGTTAAACAAATGGTTTTATCGCGTCAGGTGACGACGTGAGCGCTCAAACGCGCTTATCGAAATGAAGAGCGCGATAACCAGTACGGGCGGAATGGCTCGAATGCAGAGACACGAAGAACTAAAAAATGCCGTTGATTGCAGGTGCAGGGGGGGAGGGGGGCGGGATGCATCCTGCAAATGCATACGCGACCCTGATCCTTGAAAGCGAGGCGTGGCTCCGAATCGCGTCTCCCGTAATTCCGTGGATTCTTGGCCTGCGAGGGAAATACTGGGACAGACTTGGTCGAATACCCCCACCCAAAGCCGCACCTTTAATCCCCCAAATAGAGTGATATTTTTTAGTGCGCGAATCCTTCGTAGGAAATGGCGATATTTCTTTCCACACTTAATGCATCTTGGTCGAAAGAAGAATTATCCCAGAGCATTCGTGAAGGTGGGTGATTCATTTCGGCCTCCGATAATCCAAGAACTACCCCTCAGGAAATTCACAGGGTGGGGGAGACCTTATCGAGCACATAGGTTCTGCAGAATTCAGCCTTTTCCCACGCGATAATCTTGCTGCCGAGGATAACGAGGGTTAAAGGCTCCCCAGGCGCTCTTTTCAGCGCTCGCATTTTTTCAATAGATATTTAAACGCATTAAATCGTGATTAAGCCCCTTTAATCCCGTTCAGTTCAAGCCAAGCCCTTTAAGGACGCAGAGATCCAGTGAAAATATTTCAAGGCCATTTGGCGTTCCCAAATGGTTCGTAGTTGTGACTCCAAGCCTGTTTTTAGGCAGACTGGTCGAGGCCGTGATTTGCCGAAGTTACTGCTATTCCGCGGTGGTTTGAGAAAAATAATAATAAATTAGACCGAAGCCAAGGGGGAAGGTTCCACAAAAACCGAAGGGGAATTTTTTTCGCGGTCTGATGACGTTGGGCTTGTGCTAAGGGTTGCCAACTTTTCCGGTTGAGATCAGGAGGCTCCCTGCTTCCATAATGGGGATCTCTCTGCCAAACCGGAAACGTTGGGGACCCTACTTATGCTCTTGTTTTCGCGCTCCCGACCCATCTACCTCACGTGTTTAACGTCCGGCTTTCGTTTGTGCGTGGCCGCCTTCAGGAATTACTTGCTAAGGCTTTTTTTTTTTCGAAAAGTGCGTTTCAATGAACGCGTTCATCTCAATCATCTCAAGATGGGGTATAAAATTGTCGCGAAGTAATGAAATGTGGCTGTCTTCATTTGGCGTTCGGACGTCATGCATATTTTCCTCAATGGTGTTGGTAACAACCACTATCAGCTTTCCACCGACTTTCCTCGTTCCACGGTATGGCATTCCCTCGTTACGTGATTTTCTTGCGCGTCTGCATTTAAATTTGTTATGGGAAACGTGGGTTATTTTCCTCTTCGTCTAGGAAGGCGTGAAGGAAGGAGATGAAACGAATACCTGTTTTCCCGATTTAAATGCTCGAGCAGACGCGATATCCCACGCAAATTGCGATATGTACAGTCAGCTTCCCAGGCGACCGAAGACGGCAGAAAAAGTGGGCGATGGATGGCCGCGATCACGTTCGCACGAGGGGAATTAACATTTGGGACGCGGGGATGTGTGGAGTCCATGACGGATGGTGGTAATGAGGTATCCTCGTCACGGGGGGCAGTCCTAATGAATTTACGTGTGAAAATGTCCGGAGCATCGCATGTGGTTGCGGTGGAGGGGGATCCCTGGCATGCGAGACGTTATGGGGTGGCATTAGACATCGGGGAAGGCATATGATCAAGTAAAAGGAACCCGGATGCGTCCGTCCCTTGCGTTATAAATGATGTCTCATTCTCGTCATCGGACGCGGAGGGTATCATATCGTGTCATTGTGGAAATGCCTCATCTTCGAGGCAAACTTGTCATTAGGAATCATTAATGGAATGGGCTCCGCACTCCTGGCCACCGACATGCGGGGCCGAGTCCCCTGCCCCCAAGTCGGTCTGCACTTGCGGGATGGGCGCCGAGCTTTTCTTGCGCGCTCCTCGACCGCGACTGCCAAGAGTGGATGCACGAGAAATGACGCGGCGCGCCGGCTTGGCGGGCGAGGAGAGGGGGGGTGGAGGAGAAGGAGGACTAGAGGCGGGTTAGTCCATCCGATCAACTTGGCACTCATGCTTGCTCGCGTCGAGGTAGGGAAGAACGAAATTTTGTCTAGTGTGTCAGTGTTTGCTGATAAGTATCTGGGGATCATCGGCCGATGTTCTAGGAAGTACTGATCCAATTTCACCTTTTACCTCCCCCCCCCCTTTAAAAGTGAAGTACTTGAAAAGTTATTGTTAAATTAAAAATTTTAATTTTAAAAATCTTGCCACCGTCGCCAGGTCGTGTTGGTGAAGCGTAAAGTTGACGCTCCCCTTCCAATGATGTACTTTTGCTGTCTACACACTTCTGAACGCTCCAGGCTCTCATCTCTAGGATATGATCAGTGGCGTAGCCAGGTTTCGGTAATTTGAGGGCCACAACGCCTCAGATTGGGCAGAGACAGCAGCTTTTCGGGAACCCCGCGCTATCTTCTCGGAATTCAAATGCAGCCATCGACAAGGCTGGTAATAACAGACCTGCCAGTAATATTTCTTTCTTCCCTCGAAGCGCAAAAAAAAAAGGGAGACTCGATTTAGACGGTGAGATGAGCCTTATTTTGAGGGGATTATTCCGCTACTAACACGTGGCAGCTATTGGTTCATCCCGGCGCGAACACGGCTGACACTTGGCGGGATCGCATCGAGGCGGATTCTTCGGTGATGAATGTATCGAGCTGTTTGCACTCGGCTTGGTTATCGGCGAGGATTCCTCGAAGCCCAAGAGGGTTGTCACTCTTAATGTCCTTGTCGTGTTTGTTCGCATGTGGCAAGTGTGTCATCGGTAGGGTGAGGGAAAGGAGGATGACCATTTTCGCCTAATCGCGCCCCACAGTGAAACCGGTGCCGATCGATAGAGCACCTCAAGTAGTGCATAAGTGTTAATAACCACACCGTGATCCGAGGTTACCCTGGTTCGCCAGAGGGCGAAGAAATCTGTTAGGTTAGATTAGGTTATGATGAAATTACATTGCACGTCAAAAGATGAGTACTTCTTCAGAATACATACGTTCAA